TGCTTTGATTATAGCATGGATGCTAATTCACCTTCTGCTTTCTCCTTATGGAAATTTAAAGGATCAGTTTTAGCCGCAAAGGAAGAACTTAAGTAGTGCAGTAACACTAATCAAATCTTTATAGATGTGTACTTGTCTTCCATCTCCAGGTTCATGACAAATTTGAAAGTATGGTTTAAAAGCATTTACCTTTACAAGTGTTTAACAAAAGACTTTTATAGAAAGAGCTCCAGGTGCTACACCACTTGTTAATTTAATAAGGTTATCTGATGGGTAATCAAATTACATAATTACTCAAGCTAGTATCAACAGATTTGAGCAGAAGTATGTGGGAGTGCTTGAGAGTAACCCACTACCCACCAGTGTGTGGCCAGCTTCGGGCATCTGTCACAGTATTTAACAGTGGGGAAATGAGCACCTATGTTAATCTGGAAAAGAAGATGTCCAGTTTCCGTTAGATTAGGTTTGCTTGTGTACCCTTTTCCTCATCCTGCTAGACTTGAATCTGGTTGGGGAACTGCTTGGGGAGAGTCATGGTAGCTCAGCTCTTTTACCTCACATTCTTCCAAAAAGAAAGTCTTTTTTTGTTTCTAGTGTTTTACATTTCTACACTTAAGTCACATAAGTCACATTGGGGCCTGGTAGGAAAGAGCACCTGCTGCTCTTTCAGAGGACAAGTTCATATCCCAGCTTTCACTTTGCTCATCTGGAACTCTAGCTCCAGGGGATTAAACTTCCAGGTATATAGGACTGAAGATTGCTCAGTGGTTATGAACACTTGGTGCTCTGTCAGAGAACCAGCTTTCTGTTTCTAGTGCCACATCAGGGGCTTACAACCCCCTGTAGCTCCTGAGGTCTCTGGCCTGTGGGTACCATACCATCACATATACAGGCAGAAATAGGAATTGAGTTTGTGTTAAATAAAAGGAAATTATTGAGGATTTCTATATTTCTTTTTCATTTAAAACAAAGCAATGTTTTAAATGAAGCAGTGATAGCACAGGCCTTTAATCCCAATACTTGGGAGGCAGAAACAGTCAAGTTCTAGTTCAGCCCAGTCTATATAGCAAGTTCTAGGTCATCCAGGGCTACATAGAGAGACCTTGTCTCAAGAACGAAACAAAAGGCAATGTAAATGTCTTGAATTTTAAATTTTTTTGTAAATTCACAAATAAAACCGATTTGTTTGGATTATGTTGCATGTTGTTTTGATATATGTATGTAGCATGGATGACAAAATCATGTTTCATCTATACATTTTGAGAATGTATGGTACAGAACAAACATTTGAGAATGGCTGCACTCAACTCTTCATTACCTGACCACAAAAGGCATGCTTCCTTTATCTCTGCTATTACTGATGGGCATTGCATGGCCTTTTACACAATAGGCACTTGATAAATACATAGTAAGTGTATAAGAGTAAAAATGATTATTTTTCAAATATTCACATTCTTTCAAATTGGTCAAAAGACAGTTTTAAGCAAGGATTTCTGTATTGATGTGTAAAATTTGTAATTACCAGCAATTGTATGCAAGAGAGGGCTTTAAACTAGAACTTTATATTTTATACATTTCCCTTGAATTATAAGCAGTGTGTGAAAGAAAAGATGCATGTTCAGTGGGGAAAATGCAAGTACATGTTCCCATGAGGCTTTAAGAAGTATGTGTTAGCTGTAAACAAAAAGCAGGCAAATCATGTTTTTTAAATTAACTTATTTTTTTATTAATTACAGTTTATTCACTTTGTATTCTAGCTGTAGCCCCCTCCCTCATCTATTCCCACTCCCACCCCCCCTCCCTCATCTCCTCTCATGCCCCTTCCCCAGTCTGCTGATGGGGAGGTCCTCTTCCCCTTCCATCTGACCCTAATCTAATCAGGTCTCATAAGAACTGGCTGCATTGTCTTCCTCTGTGGCCTATGGGGGAGGTGATCAAAGAGCCAGCCACTGAGTTCTTGTCAGAGACAGTCCCTGTTCCTATTACTAGGGAACCCACTTGGAGACTGAGCTACCATGGGCTACATTTGTGCAGGGGTTCTAGGTTATCTCCATGAATGATCCTTGGTTAGAGTATCAGTCTCAGAAAAGACCCCTGTGTCTAGATTTTTTAGTTCTTTTGCCCTTCTTGTAGAGCTCCTGTCCCCTCCAGGTCTCTCTCTCTTCCCCTTCTTTCATAAGATTCCCTGCACTCTGCCCAAAGTTTAGCTATGAGTCTCAGTATCTGCTTTGATACACTACTGGGTAGAGTCTTTCAGGGGTCCTCTGTTGGTAGGCTCCTGTCCTGTTCCCTGTTTTCTCCCTCTTCCAATGTCCATCCCCTTTGCCTTTCTGAATGAGGATTGAGCAGATGCCCCTCAGTTGAGGAATGGATATAGAAATTATGGTACATTTACACAATGGAATACTACTCAGCAATTAAAAACAAGGAAATCATGAAATTTTCAGGCAAATGGTGGGAACTAGAGAAGATCATCCTGAGTGAGGTAACCCAGAAACAGAAAGGCACACATGGTATAAAATCACTTATAAGTGGATATTAGACATATAATATAGGATAATCATACCAAAATCTGTACACCTAAAGATGCCAATCAAGAAAGAGGACCCTGGGTAAGATGTTCAATCCTCACTCAGAAAGGCAAATCATGTTTTTAGGGAGGCCATGCCCAAAGTAAGTTGCCCTTTTAAATTTAAGAGAGGAAATTACGGGAAGCAGACTGGGAGCTAAATAACACCAGCCAAGTTTGGGGGGGGGGGTTGCTAATAAAAAGACTTTCTTTTCAAACTGAGTAGCATTTGAAAGTAGGTTTAGATTTGAAAAGATGATATGGTAGACAGAAAAGTGTGGTCTGGAGGAGTGAACAGTACTGTTCTGTGTGAGGAGCCTTGACTGAAGAATAGAAATCAGTGGACAAATTGAAATGAGCAGGGGCCTTGAACTTCCTTTGCACCCTTGCAGGTGTCATATGTGGAGAAAATTGACAGCAGAACCCTTTCAGGATAAGTCCAATGGGCATCTTGGGCTTCATATTGGCCCACTAGTTAGGGGAGTAGGGGATATCTAACATGAACTATGTTGCCTGCTTTTTTACCACTTTCCCTTAATGGGACTTTCCTACCAGGCCACAGGGGAGGAAGAACACAGTCCTCATGTGAATAGATGAGCTAGGGTGTCTGGGTAGTGGGGGCTCCCCTATTCTGAAGAATAGAGAAGGGATGTGGGAGGGAGGGTGGGACTGGGAGGAGAGGAGCAAAGGACCCATGACCGATACATAAATTGAAATAATTAATAAAAGTAATTAAATTCAGGGTATTCCCTTGGAGTAGGTACTGCTAAATAGGTGGGGAGCATTAACAAATGATATTAAAGGTAGCCATTTTAGCATTCAACATTAGTAGATACTTGGGGTTTGTGATTAAATTATTATCAGGGATGCTAGCCCAGACTTTTTTTTAGAAAAGCATCAATTTCCTGTCTAGTGCTGGATTTTTCCTCATATACTTAAGATATGTGATAAGCCAGAATTTCCCAGATTTTGCTTTTATTGTGGGACTGAAGCATGTTCTTGTTCAAGACTTTCGGTTTCTGCAGAGATGAACTGGGATATAAGATTTGTGTTTGTTTTGAGAACATTCAAAGTCACTCATGACAAGAACTTACTTTTAGCTTTAGAGTGTAAAGAGTCGTGGCTTGTATACTATTTCTTTCCTGGGACAGTGTGGTGTGAAGTAGGTGTGGGTCCTGTGCTTTCCAGGTACTTCTTTCCAGGTACCTCTGCTGAAGAGCTTGTGTATTGAGGTACTCAGAGAATTTGTAATTCAGATGGTGTGTTTCATAATTAGTATTTAGGACCACAAGATGTGGTCCTTGACTTTTGAAAACAAAAATCTAGGAAGGTCGCTAGAAGATTTTCTAGTGTAAATTGTGTAGATGTGGTTCCATATTTTATTCGATGTGTCATTGTTCGTATAGCAAATGGGTGGTGGCTTGTCGACAGTGCTGTATCTTAATCATCTTTGATTCTACAGTGCCTCGTGGTGCCTTTGCATAGTAGTCATTCACAGTTAGTGGAATGAATGAAGTAGGTCACCCTGAAGAGATGAATCACATGCATTTCTGGTTAGTCAGAGGATTTTCTTAGTCTCTTCTGGGCTCAGGTGAATTCTCATTGAATTGACTGACCAGTAGCTGTTTCTAAGCACAGTCTTAAATTTTCAGATTGCCATAAAGCTGCTGTCTCTGAGAGGCATTCATAAGCCTCTCACAGAGTAGGCCATGTCCATCAGCTTCACTCTGCCACAGTGCCTGATGCCAGTGGACTTGCAAGGTCCAGGCTTTTTGCTTCTCCTGGGATTTTAAGTCAGGGTCACTATAAGAAAATTGCATTTCTATTTTGACAAATATTCATAGTAGGTTCACTGTTTGCTAAAGTCTTGCTATGTAGCCAAGGCTGCCCCAAAATATGTGATCATCCTTATCTTCCTCCTCAGTGCTAGGACTACAAATGTGCCATCCTCAGCTTACACATTCACATTGAAACACTCAGATTCAGCATACTCAGACAACCTAGAAAATTAGTTGCCCAGTTTCACAGTATTTTTCTAGTCGGCTGTTTTCCCACAGGGTGTTGTAGAACCTCATTTGTATGTGTGTGGACCTTTGATTTAGCACTTTAGATTTACTGTATTTTCAGAATACAGATGGAATCCACCACTTTTAAAAATTAGATTGAATGCCCCTTTTAGGTCTCTTTAGGCTGAGAGTATAAAAGCTGTTGTTGGCAAGGGGCAGTGTGGCTCAAGGAACAATCCAGAAAGGCTCCAGTTTGCAGCGCACTAAGAATGAGGTTTCTCTGTTCTGATAAGTGATGTTGCTATCAGCTTACTACTTTCCTTTGTTTCCTTGAATTCTATGAATTATGTTTTAGTTACATGTCAAAATGCCATCTTGAAACAATGAACATTATCTCTGAATACATTTTTCCCTTTCCATTCAAGATAAACTGTCATTGGAAGGAATAGTGGTACAGAGAGCGGAATGCAGACCTGCTGCCAGTGAAAACTACATGAGATTAAAGAGGTTGGTGTATTGTAACTTTAAACTGATACTTGATGTTTTTCATGGGGCGTAGGACACGTGTTAGATTTCTTATTGGCTACATACAAGCCACTGTTGTGTTTAAAATGTTCACTTCCAACACTTTAGGTTCAAAACCAAGTATTCAGCATGATGGCACTCACTTTTAATCCCACCAGTCCTCTGTGAGTGAAGCAAGCCTGGTCTACATAGTGAGTTAGTTGTAGGCCATCCAGGGCTATAGAGTGAGACCTGTCTCAAAACAAAACAGAAGCAAGTAGAGTGTCTCTGTTAGAGAGCCTTCAGAACCAGCTGCTGAGGGTACTTTAACCTGCTGTATTGCATTCTGAAATCAGAGTTGATAGGGTATTTTTTTTCCTAGTTGAACTTAGGTAAGCTTGTGTGCATGCACTTAGGCATGCGTGTGCACATGCCTAAGTGTTTATATGAGTGTGGTGTGTAGGTCCGAGATCATCCTTGAATAATATTTTCAGGTGCCTGTCACCTGTCATTTTTGTTTGTTTGTTTGTTTGCTTGTTTGTTTTGTGGTGGTTTGGTTTGGCTTTGGAGACCTTGTTTTTTGGGATGGGCTCTCACTTGCCGTGGAGTGTGCTGCTTTAAGTGGGCTGGCCGGCCAGCAGTTCTGGGATTTGTTTACCTGTGTCTACCTCCCAGCACTGGCATAGTATTGCACCTTTGCTTGGGTTCTGAAGAGCAAACTCAAGTCTTCATACTTGCCAGATGCTTTACCAATGAAGCCATCTTCTCCACCCATAAATCTTGATTCTCTGAAGGCATGTTGCAGAGGTCTTTGTGCTGTTTTCTTTTCAAAGGCTGTAGTTTTCCTACACCGAATATGTATCACACTACTGTATTAAAAAGCAAGTATGATTGCCAAAGTATCATCTTGTTTTTAGTCTATTGAGAATTTGTAAAGTTGTATATTGTTAATGAGATTTTTGCTTCAGCCCTCCCCCCACTTTTATATGCCATTAACATTTTGGGATTACTGTTTAAAGACAATGGCTTTGAATCAGCATTTCTTTAATCCTGAAAGAAATTTATACCAGCTTCGTGATTTTTATTTGATATATTTCAGCATAATGAGATTAGAATTGTTCATCCCACCATTCTACACATTTATTCATTTGGTACTATCTGCAAGATACATTTTAGGCACTAGAGAAACAGTTGTGCATGGGGCAGACACTGTTGCTAAGCAACTTCCCCTATGGGATGGTTATAGCCATGCAGTGCTGCTCCCTGAGAAAGTACTGCTCAAGAAGTGGCCTTCTGGCTGTCCAACATCCTACCTGGAACACAGGTAATTGAACTCTGTTTCACTAAGGTCACATTGTATTGTAAATTTCCCCCCTTTTCTTGATAACGTTAGATGCTGTTTCCTGGAAGTGGCACAAAAAGGCTAGAAGTGGTTTTGTTCTTTTGTCTAATCTTTCCCCTAGTTTAAAATACCTCCCTGGAGCAAGTAAAAGAATGACAGTTAATATGAAAATTAGCTTTGTAAAACTGTCAAAAGATATGTCATTCTTTGTTTGCAGCCTATAAAGTTTATGCTATAATACAAGCCTTTTAGAAAAATGATCTTCAGATAACTGCAAATGTTGAAAAGGGACAAATTTGGGTATTGGGTTACTTGTTGATCCCTTTTTGTGGTTTTAATTTTCCTTAAAGGACTTATGTGAGGATGAGAGCAGGCAGGCCACCTGCTGTGTTTGCAGAATGTCTGCCTTCTACCAAAATGAAAATGAAAATTATATGGCTTTAAAAATATGCTATATGGCCAAGTATTCATATTTTAGTCTTAAGTGACTGAAGCAAACAAAGTGATTCAGGAAATGCTGATCGTGTGTTTCACAGTGTAGATGACATCAGTCTTAAGCAGAGATTATTTTGCCTGAGTAGAAAAAGATGAGGGTGGGAAGAACCGTCAGAATAAATGAGCTGTCATAAAGACAGGTGCCACTTCTATCACGCACTCTACACACATGTACATTATAGATCATGTGCCTGCTTGAATATCCACTACATTTCCAGTATGTCAGAAACAACTCCAGATCTCTCCCTCAGAACCTAGTCCCAGCAGTCTCTTCACCCAGGTCATGTCACACCCACCTCCGTGGTCCAAAAACCTTTCACCCCACAGCTAATGTGTCAGGAAATCTTGCAGATTTTACCTCAAAATCCTTGTTTCTATAGTCCGACCTTGCCTCAAACAAGCCACAGAAGCAGCCATCTGTTTTTTTTTTTTTTTCTGAGTCATGTTTTCCACTCTAGTCTCAACACAGTAGCTAGCGCAGTAGCAGGTCCTTTAAACTCTGGTCCTGTCATTCCTTTCCTTCTGGTGTTTCTAGTATTTCCTGACTTGCTTAGAATAAAATTCAAGTCTTTGTAATAGTCCTTGGAGTCCTCCACATCAGCCTATACTCTATGAGTTTCTTTCCATCCTGTGTCTTCTCCCCCTCCCCATTCATTCTGCACCAAGTACCTCAATCTCACAGCTAGAGTCTGTGAGAACTCTAGCCTTGCTCTCATCCTGGGCCCTTTGTGCTGACTGTGGCTTTCAGCCTGCATTAGACTTTTCTCTTTTCAAATGTCTTCTCAAATACACCTTTTCATTAAGGCCCATCTTGACCACCCTACCTCATTCTCTGCTCTTATTTTCTTCATTATATGTATCGCCCCTCCTTAACTGGAGCTTTACTGCCAACTTCTCCGTACTGCAGTTGAAGGTCTCACAAGAACAGGGATTTTACTGCTTTTGGGGGGCTTTAATTTTGGTGTGTATCTGTTTAGTTCTTTCATGACACACAATAAGCAGCCAGTAAATACTTGGTAAGTGAAAGAATCAGAAAAATAACCTTGAAAGTTGAGAGTCTCACATGCCATTTAGGAAAGTACTGATTTTTTTTTTTTTTTTTTTTTTTTTTTACTGGGTAGAATATGAAGAGATTTGTATCATAACTGGGCTGTTCTGGCCATAGGCTAAAGATTAGAAATAGGGAAGGTAGCGAGAGGCTCAAGAGATAGCCCAGACAGAGAATCTGAAAAGCTCAGGAGCTGCTTCAGAAGGAAGGTGAGAACTGTATATGGAGGATATTCCTAGGAAGAGTCTGGAATTAAGTGGACTCAAACTTGGATAGTTATGAGATGACAGATCTCTCTAGTTGGAGATAGTGCTTGTGGTCTGAGTGTATGTTCCACTGTGACTTTATCAGATTAGCTCCATTCTGTCCTGTATGTCACACAGGAAGAGTTATACTGATGAAAGAGGAAGGGCTGGAGGGTTTTTTGTAATTTCATGGCTATCTTAATGGAAATCCTAGTTGACCCTTTACCAGAAAGACTTAAAGCAGAAAGTACTTAGCATTGCAAGGGCAGTACCAGTGAATATTAAGTAGGAAGATGTATCTCTTTACTTTGCTTATAATTACTTAGTGTTGGGTGTATGCTTTGATCTTAAATCAGAGGGTGCTGTTCCTGCTCCAGAGAGTTTACAGTCCTTGAACCCGAAAAGACACACACACACCTACTTCATTAAGAATGTTTATTGACATTGTGGCAGTGAGAGTTGAAGTGTGCTGGTGCCATTTAATGCAAAGTGGAAAGGCAGATTTCTAGACGTGGGTGGCATTAAAGCAGAGTGTTGGAGAGCTGAATTGGCATGAGGGCTATCAAATACTGAAGTATTACACATATGATTAGATTTCTTCAGACACTCTTAAGAGCGCCGTCTCCTTAGTGACATTGACATTTCTGGTTTCATTGTCAGCTACTCCTTTTTATATAGACATGGTTAGATTGTACCTGAAGGTGATATTTCAGGTATGCCTGGGGCTTTCCCTTCGTGTGTCTTTGTTTCGTACATGCAGCATGCTCCACCTGCAATGTCTTTTTGCACCTTCAGCAAAGTCTCTTGACAGTTCTCATCCCCACCTGACTTGGGATCTGCCATTCTTCTTTTTGATATTGCCACATGCTGATTCTTTGATGGTGTGTGTGTCATACCTTGTTTTCTGTTGTCCTCAGGACAGTTATCTTGCCTAACGTCTGATCATCATGACAGCGGGGACAGCATTATCCTTCCTTTTTTTTTTTTTCTCCCTATTTTCTTTTCTATTTCTGTGTTCTTGGTTTGTTAAATGATGTATTATGACTAACAAATACCAAAGATCTGTGTAGGAGTAAAGTGGACTACAGTGGAAAAGAATCATCAAAGCTACATACAGAAACATGGAAATCATTGACACCCACCTTCTGTATTTCTTTTAATTAGTTAAAGACAGGCTTTATAAATAAAGACAGTGTTAGAGTACTTACTTAGCATGTGAGACCTTGTGTTCAGTCGCAAGCGCTACAGTGCGCACACATAGTAAAAAGTGACTAGTTTCCATCTGAAGAGACAAACTCATACCACCACCACTCAGATACTGGTGGAATTTTTTTATTTTTTATTTTTTGAGGCAGGACCTTACCGTGTATCTCAGACCATCTCGGTTCTTCCGCCTCTACCACCAGTGGGATTACAGCATGTGCCACCCCGATGGGTATCCGACTAGGCCTTTTTATCAGAAACCTTTCTTTCCTTGATGTAAGTCAGTAATTTTAGATTTAATCAGTGGGTTTTTACTGTATTATATTTTAGTAAATGGCAGTTGAACTACAGGTTCTTAGTAACATAAATGGCAATTTTATAAAGTATAATGTTATAAATAATGTATTTATAAACAATGTTCCTTAAGAATAATCAGTTATATTTTAGCAGAATTTGATTTTAGTAATCAATTCTTATTATAGCTCTTTGTTATTGAATTTTGGATGATAAATTGTTCAGTTATGAAAATTATATTCATTAAATATAAGTTAGTAAGATCCTGTCGTTTATTCAGATAAAGATAGAAGTTGAACATGAAATTAATGTTGAAAGTAAACCTCAGAAGTATTGAAAACCTTTAACAAATGAAATTCAGGCCAAGAGAGAAATA